CTGCTTCTACAGCCTGCTTCTTGTTCACCAGCTTCCATGAGTCAGGTGAAGCCTGACTTGAACCGAATTGGATTTACCTATTTCTACAGTAAGCCATTTCTTGATATAAATCTCTTTTTATATACAGTACATACAAGCATTGCTTGTTTTGTTTCTCTAGACAGTCAAGTCTAACACACACAAGAATCCCCGAAGGAGGGAGAAAAGGAAATAAAACAGAGGTAAATACTATTATGTACATAATCCTGCCATAAAAACAATTTATTAGTGAATGCATAGGCAATATGAAAGCTGAGCAGGCATGGGAAAGAGAGTCAGACTACACTCATGAATATCTGTAGATTTGACAGAGAATATTTCAACCTATATATTTACTTATGGTGTAAATATATCCATGAACTTGGCAGGCCATACAGGGAATAAAGTTATGAAAACTCTTTAGCCATAATCAAAATCCTTGAGGAAATGAGTTACGAGGCTTGGGATTCAGGACCATAGGCTTAAGGAGATAAAGGTTACTTTTCATAATATAATCCATAATTTCTCCCCACCCAGAGCAAAGATAAGGGGAGAAAGTCAAATATGTACAGAAATACTTAGTCCAGTGGACTAACAGACGACACAAACCTCAGCTTCATAACCCTGAGACCAGCAGACCTAGTTGGTTACCAATCTGCTTACCAATACCAGTTGCTCTGAAAGAAATCACATTCGAAGGCCCTGAAAACAGAGTGGGAGGAAAATGTGGAACAAAACTAAGAAACCATATTGAAGATCATACTTATTGATTGGTTAGGGACTTAAGCAAACTCCATAATGCTTTAGTCAAGTTTATTGGCTCAATTTTTAGCCAAACAGTAGAGGGGCCTCTAAGGTGAACAATAACAGTAAGGCAGTATACTCTTTCCTATTCATCTTTATACCTTCTACTTTTCCTCGTAATTTTTCTTTTTAACATTTCATTTTATATATATATATAAAATTGCTATTCGATTGCATAGACATTTCCATGCAGAGGGGTATAAAACCTACCACATATATCTACCTGTAACACTAAGCATATGCACCCATGAAAGGCTCCCATTTTCTATATGTTCATTCATGTTTTCAGAATACCCTCATGAGAAAACCATTTTACTTCAAATAAGAAAATACTCTGGTCCAATGACATCTGAGATGAGGAGTCATAAAACACGGTGAACTGCCGGTTAAGCTTGCATCATAAAGCATAGTCAAGGTTATGATTTATAAGCATGCCTGCTTTTCTTATCTCAAATATCCTCTATTTTATAGTGGTCCACATAATCTGAGTGCCTCATAAGTATGTGGTGAGTTTGCAATAAACACATGGAAGTTATGATATTATCAAGAAACAGAATGATAATGGAAAAAGGAAGGGTGTAAAAATGTAATCTACTTTTATTCTTTCAAGTTGAGAAATTTAAATAAATTATTGAGATCTGACTTTGTGGAATATAAAAAATGAAATCAAGATAATTTCCTAAGAGTTCAGCATATTGTATATACAACATACATATCTACAAGCAGACACAAGCCATAAATAACAGCGAAATCTATGAATTAGTCTATGATAGGACAGCAGTTTGATAATGTACACCCATTCTTTGCTTTTGTACACCCATTTTACTTCTAGTGTCTAGCATAGAGTATACTATCATTACACATCTATCAAAGGAATGAAAGAATTCATGAAAGATACACTTCAAGTATATAACCCAATAGATTTAGCCAATTCAGGGTCAAATAAATAGGTTATTAATCACTTTTCTCTTGTCCACTCTGGCTAAAAATAGTAAAATAAAGTAGAGCTAGCCTTGAAAATGTTATAAAACTTGTGTCTGAAGTCTCGTAAATCTATATTGAAAGGAAAAGACAGAGTGTACTATTCTTGGCATTGACAAGGGATGATTGGGGATAGAATCTATAAGCTAATATAGACACATACACACATGTATCACTTTGGTGTGGTTTTGTGTGCGTGTGTTAGAAAGAGGGATGGAGGGAAAATGCTCCATATATTTGTACACAGGTTTTGTTTTATTTTTACTTTTTTAACAGCAAGCTCAGATACCTTATTGAATCTATCTGCTCCCTGATGCACAGAGAATCTTACAAATTTGTTTGTTTGTGTTAGATGTTGTTGTTGTTGTTGTTGGGTGCTGTTGAGTCAGTTCCAACTCATAGAGCCCCTATGCATAACAGAATGAAACAATGCACAGTCCCTCGTCATCCTTACAATGATTGCTATGCCTGAGCCCATTGTTGTAGACACTGTGTCAATCTATCTCCCTGAGGGCCTTCCTCTTTTTCATTGCCCCTCTACTTTACCCAGTATGATGTCCTTCTCCAAGGACTGGTCTTCTCTGACAACATGGACAAAGTATGTGAGATATGCTCAGAGGTAGGTATGCCTCTGCTCATGCCGTCCCTCAATGCAGGAACACTTTGGTCTAACAACCTGGCAGTATGAGATGTTCACCCTCCTGACACAATCACTGAAGACAAATGGGTGTGTAAGCAAATGTGGTGAAGAAGGTGGATGATATCCAGCTATTAAAAGATATAGTGCCACCATTCAGCAGAAAAGCAACAAGTCCACATGGAAGAAGCATGCTGCTGGTGTGATCATGAGGAGTCATAGGGATCAGGTAATAGGCATTAGCAGACACATAACAAACAAACAAAAACATATTTTTGAGAATGAGGAAGAGTGGAGCAAAGCTCCAAAGATAATTTGTAGACAGTGGGACAATCCCCCCACAGAGGGGCCACAGGGAAGGGATGAGTCAACCAGGGTGCAGTAAAGCATTGATGAAACACACTATATTCCTCTGGTTCCTTGAGATTCCCTCACTCCCTACTACCATGACCCCAGTGTTGCTTCTCAATTCAAACTAGACCGGAGCATGTACACAGGTATAGATAAAAGATGGGAGCTCATGACACAGATTCTGGGAACATGAGTGGGAATAGTAATACCAGAAGGTAGTGAGAAGAGGGGTGAGGAAGGGAGAACGAGGGAACCAATCACAAAGATCAACACATAACCATACAGCCCTCTACAGGGGAAAGAACAACAGAAAACATGGGGGAAGGGAGACAGCGGTCAGTGTGAGATATGAAAATAATGACAATGTATAATCTATCAGGGGGTTATGAGAATGGTGGGGTGGGGGAGGGGGCAAAAAGAGGAGCTGATACCAAGGGCTCAATAGAAAGTAAATGTCTAGAGAATAATGAAGGCAAATATGTACAAATTCATCTGATGCAAGTGATGTATGGATTATGACAAGAGTTTTAAGGGTCCCTCCTCCCAGTTTTCTAATTAAAAAAAGAGGGAGGAAAATTCTGACTCATAGCAACCGTATGTACAATAGAGTGAAACACTCTTCAATCCTGCACCACCTTCACAATTATTACTATATTTGAACCATTGTTTCACCAACCATGTTACTATCCCATTGAGAGCCTTTCATTTTTTTGTGATCCTTTACTAATTATAATGGCTTTTCTCAGGGGTTGGTTCCTCCTGATAGCATGTCCAAATACACGAGACAAAATCTTGCTATCCTTGATTCTAAGGAGCCTTCTAACTACACTTCCTCTGAGAGATCTGATTCTTCTAGAAGCCCATGGTACTTTCAGTGTTCTTCCTCAACACGATAATTGCACTGCCTCAATATGACTTCTGTCTTCCTTATTAATAGTTCACATTTCACATGATACAAGGTGATTGAAAACACCAGAGCTTGGGTCGGGTTCACCTTAGTCCTCTCAGTGTCGTTTTTGCTCTTAAGAGCAGGTTTTCCAAATACAAGATGACGCCTGATTTCTTAGCTGCTCTTTCCATGAGCATTGATTACAGATCCAAGTAAAAGGAAATTGTTGACAACTTCAATATTTTCCTATTATCTTTTGGTCCAGTTGTGAGAAATCTCACATACATGGGCCCAGTACCCAAGATCCTGCTAATGCACTAGGAAACTTCTGACTGCCTTAATACTCATTTTCATTCAACACCATGGTAGGAGTTGTAAAGCATCAGCTGATGATGATGGTTTCCACTTGGGTTATTTAGAAAATCACACAAACTATTCCTTTCAGTTTGTTTGCAAGGATATGCTCATAACTAAGGTACTAGAATTTTTGTCTAGAATAACTTACCTAATACAAAAAACGATTCCTTCTATAATAATGTCCTCATTTACATAACTATTTTGCAGTAATCATAGATACCTGTGATTCCTATATGCTAAAAATTTTTCATTTGGTTAAGCATCTGACAGAAATATTGAAAATAACATTAGATTAGGGGTTAAGGCATTAAATGTTTTTTTTCTGTTGGAACTCAGTTTCTTGATCTGTAGATAAAAAAGGTTGTGTTACTATTAGTATATATTGACTGCCCATTAGCTGTCTTAACTCTTTCATCATTCATAAAAATTGTAGCTTATCTTTTCATTCTCTTGAAAACATGAGCCTATAATGTAGAAAACTGCCAAGAACTGGACCAGAAGTAGCATTGGAAAATGCCCTAAAATCCTTTCTGGTTCTATGAATGATTAATTATAGAGTAGGATAATACTGAAACAACAACAACAACAACAAAAAACTTTTAAAATGTCCAGTTCTACAAAGGCCAGCTCAATTACCTCACTAAAAAAAGTTACATTGCAAGGAATTTTATTTCATTAAATCCAATGTTAATGACACACTTAAACTTAACTCTCAAAGAGGGAGGAGAGAAGAGGAGAAAGGGAAAAAGGCAGGAGGAACAGACTCTAAAGGAAGGCAGGAGACAAGGAGGAAGAGAGCAAGGAAGAATAAGCAAGTTAGAGATTGTATTTCCTCTAAAGAAAAAGTTGATGGTTAATAAGTTAACAATGCCTCCTGAAATAAAAAGGTTTTGTTTTACTATAAACACATGTAAAGCAGAATCTTTCTGACATGCATTTATCAAAAAAGGTTTAGTTTATTACCTTCAAAGTCTACGTCTCCCATTAATCTCATCTTCCCAGTCACTGGGTCTTGCACATAGTTGATGCCCACATCAATCACTGTGGCGCCTTCTTTAACCATATCAGATGTAATCAACTTGGGAATACCTGAAAGCAAATCAATGTTATGAAATAATCTTCAAAATACTTGTACTTTGTCCTTGATCATAACGAAGGTTAATACAGTTGATTTTTTTGTTGTTGCTGCTGTTTTTATAATCCAATGATTCTAAGGATAAGGCCAACTATAGTTTGAGCAGTTCTGATCAAGTAGAGGAACAAAGGAAATTAAGATTGCATGTAGAGGTTTCTATGGATGATATCCTACAAGAATTGCCCTTTCAGAGATAGCTTACCTATTTCATGCAATCGTATGCATCTGTCTCATATAAATGTAGACAGGAAATATGAAGCTCTAAGGTAGAGTGGCATGGCATTGGGGAAAAACTCAACCTGAAAAGTGGACGCAGAGAGAAGGTAGCTTTTTGGATGTCATTGTTTTGTTTTAAATGATTAAAAAAACCATTCCTATATTTAGTGGCTTAAAACAACTATGGTTTAAGTTGTTCGATGACTGGACTAGACTGAATAGACTTTGCTTGCGTTTTCCATCTTGTTGGAGTCAGGTAATGACAAAGGCGAGAGTCATTTGGGAACCCTGGTGGCATAATGGTTATGCATTGGGCTGCTAACCTCAAGGTCAGTAGTTTGGAACCACTAGGTGCTCTGTGGGAGAAAATCAGGGATTTTTACTCCTGTAGAGAGTTACAGTCTAGGAAACTCACAGGGACAGTTTTGCCCTGCCTGTTTAGGGCCATGTGAGATGGCATGAACTGGATGGCAGTGAGTTTTGAGGATTTTTTGAAAGCCATCTAAAAATACAACTAGACTGGATATCTAAGACGGTTCCACCATTGGTGGAAATTGACTCTGAGTTGAGATCAAATAGGTTTCTGACTGAACACTCTACACGTGACCTCCCCATATGGTTTGGGGTTTTTATATCCTGCAGTTTGTTTCTAAGAGCGTGTGCCCCAAGGAAAGGAAGACAATCTTGGTAATCTCTTATGGCAAAATATCACTCCTGACCTATTTTATTCAATCTGTATGCTGAGAAAATCACCAGAGAATCTGGATTATAAGAAAAAGAATGCAGCATCAAGATTGGAAGAGGGCTTATTAATAACCTCTGAGAAGCAGAGGACACAACCTTGCTTACAGAAAGTAAGGGGAATTTGAAGCACTTGCTGGTGAAGATAAAGGATTGTAGCCTTCATTGTGGATTACAACTCAATGTCAAGACAACCAAAATCCTTACAACTGGATCAATAAGTAACATCATGATAAATAGAGAAAAAGTAGAACTTGTCAAGAATTTGGCCTTGCCTGGATCTACAGTCAATGATCGTGAAAGCAGCAGTCAATAGACGAAACGTTGTGTTTTATTCGGCCCGCCGGGGACATTTATCTGGCCCCCCTTTTGTTTGTTTTTTGCCCCTTTTGTTTTTTTACTTCAAAATAAGATATGTGCAGTGTACATAGCAATTTGTTCATAGTTTTTTTTTTTAACTATAGTCCGGCCCTCCAACAGGCCTGAGGGACAGTGAACTGGCCCCCTGGCTAAAAAGTTTGAGGACTATCCATTTAACCACTCAGATGGCTACAATGACACCTTGTGACATTCATTTTAAGAGTTCGGGGGCTATAAAGAATTGGTCAAGGCCACAGTAGCCAAAATATGACCTTGAATCTATCCCACCTGAATTTTGAGGACATCTCAAGACAAATTTGATGCATTGAACACTAATGTAAGCAGACGTGGTGAGCTGTTGGCAGGACGTCAAATCATCATTCATGAAGAAAGCCAAAGGTCATTAAAAAGACAGGAAAGAAAGAAAAGATCAAAGCAGATGTCAGAAGAGACTCTGAAACTTGCTTTTAATCGAAGAATAGCTAAAGTAAATGGAAGAAAGAATGAAGTCAATGAACTGAATAGGAAATTCCAAAGGTCAGCTAGTGAAGACACAGCCCAATATTGTAGTGAAATGTGCAAGGACCTAGAATTAAAACCTTAAGGGAAGCATATGCTCAGCAGATCCGAAACTAAGAGAGCTCAAGAAAACATTCAAGCCACCAGTTGCAATTCTGAAATATCCTACAGGCAAAATATTGAATGACGTTGGAAGCATCAAGAGAAGATGGAAAGAATACCCAGAGTCATTGTACCAGAATGAACGAGTCGACAGTCCACCATTTCAAGAGGTAGCATGTGAGCAAGAGCCAACAATACGGAAGGAAGAATTTTATGCTACACTGAGTGCATTAGTGCAGAACAAGGCCCAGGAATGGACAGAATACCTATAAAAATGTTTCAGAAGGCTGAAGCAGCCCTGGGAGCACTCATTAGTCTATCAGGAAATCAGGAAGACAACTACCTAGCCAACTGACTGGTAGAGATCTATATTTGTGCCCAATCCAAAGAAGGGTGATCCAACAGAAAGCTCAAACTATAGAACAATATTACTGGAAAATTTGAGTGAAATTTTACTAAAGATCACCCAACAACGGTTACAACTGCATATTGACAGGGAACTGCCAGAAGTTCAGGCCAGATTCAGAAGAGGACATGGAATAAGGGATTTCATTGCTGATGTCAGATGGATCTTGGCTCAAATCAGATAATACCAGAAAGATGTTTACTTGTGTTTCATTGACTATGCAAAGGCATTAGACTATGTTGCCCAAAATAAACTGTGGATAACCCTGAGAAGGATGGAAATTCTTGAACACCTCATTGTGCTCATTCAGAACTTTTACATGGATCAAGAGGCAGCTGTGAGAACAGAACAAGAGCACATAGCATGGTTTAAAATCATAAAAAGTGTATCTCATGGTTTTATCCTCTCAGCATACTTATTCAATCTATATGCTGAGCAAACCATCAGAGAAGCTGGATTATATGAAGAAGAGTGCTGGCTCAGGATTGGAGGAATGATCATTAACAACCTGCAGTATTCAGATGGCACAACCTTGCTTGCTGAAAGGGAGGACTTGACGCACTTGCTGATGAAGATCAAGGACTGCAGCCTTCAGTATGGATTACAACTCAAAGAAAGAAAGACCAAAATTCTCACAACTGGACCAACTGGGAACATCCTGAAAAATGGAGAAAAGGTTGATATTTCAAGAATTTTACCTTACTTGGATCCATAATAAGGCTCACAGAAGAAGCAGTCAAGAGATCTAAATATGTATTGCATTAGGTAAATCTGCTGCACAAGACCTCTTTAGAGTATCGAATAGCAAGGATGTTACTTTTAGGACTAAGGTGGGCCTGACCCAAGTCATGGTATTCTCCATTGTATAATATGCATGTGAAAGTTGCATATTGAGTAAAGAAGACCGTAGAAGAATCGATGCATTTGAATTTTGGTGCTGGAGAAGAATATTGAAAGTACAATGGACTGCTAAAAGGAAAAACTTCTATTGGAAGGATTAAGTTGGAGTGTTCATAAGGTTAGAGGAAAGGATGGCAAGATTTCAAAGGCCCTGGAGAAGGACATCATGTTCGTTAAAGTGGAGGGGTGGCAAAAAGTTGAAAGGCCCTCAGCGAGATATACTGACACAGTGGCTGCATCAACGGGCTCGGCCGGGCACAGGAACAATTGTGAGGATGACATAGGTGCAGTTTTTTGTTCTGTTGTGCATAGGGCCACTGTGGGTCGGAGCCAACTTGATGGCACCTAACAACAGCAACATGTAATAGGTTTCTTAGTCCTATAAATGCATAATCAAAAGGTGTCAGTGTTTGAAATGTATTTTTGCCTTACTTTCCTATACTGCTACATAGACATTCATGCTTTTTAATGGATTCATCATAGAAACCGAATATTGCTCTATAGATATACACAGCATCCTATTCATTCTTCACTTCCAATTTTAAAGTGTGGTATATCCTAACACATTTTAATTTGTCATTAAAATTAAATTTTGAGAATTTTAATTTGTCATTGAAATTAAATTTTGAGAATATTTATCTTTTATTATTGGAAAATTAAAAACTATATAAATCACAATAAAATAATCTTTTCTGCAGTTTTCTCACTATTTTGTAATTATAAGTCATGCAATGGACCTTGTTTTGCTTTTCATGTGCTGTGTCCATGTACATGGCCAAGGATCGAGCGATCTACAATGAAAACATATTTATATACAAAATGCATAGAAAATTTATTAATGGCAGCATCAAACGATAAAACTTTCACTCAAGCCTGATTCACATGATGAAAAAATGTAGAATTGATAAAAGTACCTATTGGTAGGGTTATAGCTAGGTAAAAAACATGTTCCAAAGACATTTGATTAATGTATCTTCAAAAAGATGTATTGTAATCTTCTATGAAAGTGTTTGTGTCATTTTTCTAATTTGTCATGAACAACTTAGAAGAACAAATTGTCATTGTGTTGTTACATTATCTTTGCCCTTCCTTAGGCCCACTTTTAAACATTCTCTGCCAGAGGTAGGGCTGATCTTCACAGAGACCCTCCCTATCTTCCTTGGAACTCTGTCATGGCCATACAATCAAGGTCAAACTTGCCTCCTAGGGGATGCAAGACCTGCATAGTAGAGCTGAGACACGTAGGTCATGAGGTCATCTTACATGACTTTGCCCCAACCAACCCACCAGCTGCAGGCAGATGCTTGAATAAGCCCAGGTAATATCAGCTGAGACAAGCCAAGTCACCATAACTGCCAGATGAACCATAGACCCGTGAGAAAAGTTTTAAAATACCATTCATAGAAGACCACAATAGATCTTTTATAAGATGCATTAACCAGTTTCTTTGGAACATGCTTTTTAACCAGCTAAAATTTCACCAATAGGTGTTTTCATCAACCCTATATTTTTTCTATCATGTTAATAAGTCTTTAGTGAGTTTAGTGAGTCTTTGTCAAGTTTGATGCTACAAGTTAAATTATTTAAAGCTACTAGGGTTTTTTTTTATGGTTTTCTGACAGCAATAGCTTCATAAGCCATATTTGCAAATGACATAAAGTTGGATAGGATATACATAAGGTTGTCATTTTGGGGTGATGATAATGGATT